GCATTGCTTGACGTGTTGCATGTCTCCTCCTCTAGGAAGTGGTCTGTGGATACTCCTTCCCCTCGCCCAAGCCCGAAGACTCGGATCTCAAAGGTTGGGCCGTCACCACCGAGTAGGCAAAGTACCACCCCCGACGAGTCGGGTCCACTCCAAGTCGATGAAAGGGCCGGCTCCGAAAGCATACGAACCCCCGCCTTGGATGCTTCGTAGAGAAGAGAGAATGCGTTCGCCGCAAATAATTTTCATATTTTCATCCCTTCTCGGTTCATGGTAACTTAGACGAAAAGAAACTGGATGAGATAGAGAATGAGAATTACTGTGACACGTATAGATATAGAAGATCATTCCGGATAAAATGTGTCAGTCCTGGGAACGTGCTAAGTTCAATTGACTGCATTTTCTTTTTATTCACAAGTTTTCCTTCATGGCACCCGTTGAAATTACTCATTTCATAACTCTAGCACTTTTGTCATGCAGGCAGGTGAAAGATAGAAGCATGACAATCCTTTTCTCCATCCCAAATAACCAATGTCAATCTCCATAGTAAGCATCTTCTACCTACCTGCACAACATGCAAGGAAAACAAGTTCAAAAGAAAACAGTACAATCCCATATTCAAGTCAGACTTTTTCATTCACATGCATGATTCACGCAACTTTCCTCAACCTTTTCTTTTGAACATTCAAAACAACAGGGTCAAGCAAAGTGTGGTTTCACACATGTGTGAAGGGAAATCTGAGTCATTCGACTGACCTTGACTGAAGTTTACTCCGGCTCACTCAAGAAAGCCGAGAAATATTCCAGCCAAAGTTGAAAAAACGATCGCCGTTGAAGCCGAAAATATGCCACTCACAACCTCACAACTCGTGGTTGTTTCATTGAACGACAGCCCCCTCACCCTTCAAGTGCTCCTATGAGCGAAGGTCACCTCCACTGAAAGACTCAAGTGGGATAAATCTCCAAAAGGGTACTCCCAACAACGAGTCCCACGTGGTTCCAACAGTCCCAACTATACTTCCCTTACCAAGGATACTCTCAACCAATTGTAAGTCCACGCCTTCTCCAGGTACCACGTACTCTCACCATAGCCACCCCAATATGTCGGCTCCGATCTTCAAAATCGGTTCCACCTGGTCCCAAAATGGTCCTAGTTGGTCCCACGTTACCGCCACAGCACTGAATGGTCTCACTCTGAAATCCCGCTTACGCTGCGCGCCGCCAAAAAAATAAAAGTGGCCCTGGTTGAAAATGCACGTGCCACGAACCTCCCAAAAATAAGGATGTCCTTCCGGCGCAAACCGCAAGCGCTGCAACTCCAATAGTCAGTGCCACGTGCACTCACCCCGCGTCCTCCTCATGTCACCGGCCCACGCACCACTACCACACAATCCCAATCGTGAATCAGCGTTAGCCCAACCTCTAGACCACACTGAGATCCACCATAACCGCCGCTCACCACAAAAAAAATATGCGGACCACTGCTTGTTGCGCCGTCAACGGTACAATGGCTGCTTCGCAACACCAGCCTCAGATCACACATAAAACTGTCCCCACTGACGCAAAACCCGCATCAATCTTCCCTCGTAATATTGCCGCCGACGTGCTGCCAGTATGAAAAAATAGCGTTGACACCACCGCCAATCTCGGCAGCACGATCCTACCAAAAATGTTGCTACCACTGTGCCAAAACCCAAACAGCAGCACTTCCGCACCACTGCAGTTAAATCCGGTGCAGCCACCACAAAATTTCGGCAGCGCTTCCGCACTACGTCAACAAAACACTGCCGCCGCCGTGCAAAACGGGCAGAGTTTCCCCTGCACCGCTGTCGAAGACCTGCCACCGCCGTGCAAAACGGACAGAGCCTCCCCTGCACCGCTTGCCGAAGACCTGCCGCCGCCGCGATGTGCAGGCAGCACCTTCCCTGCACTTCACCAGATGAAGTGTTGGCTATGGCAGCCTCCACTCCCGCGTTCACTGTAGATCTCCACTCCACTCCACCTCTCAGCACCCCACTGGCAGTGCCGCCCCTCTCCAGCAGCGTGCAACAACCAGCCAGCATTCACTCAAGTGAATGCCCCAGCAGCACTGCCACAAGTGTGATGCTGCTGGGTGGAGTGCTGGCTTTTATAGTTAGTTGAAGGCATGTGGGCAGCTGCCTTGCCCACAGCCAGGCAAAATTCGTCAGAGCTCCTGGCCCTTGATCTAAATCAATGGCCAGGAGCCCTATGCCTTGGTTTCCCCTTAGGGGAACCAGGGTCATCAGTTCCCTGGAGCACCTGGCCGTTTCCCTAGGCCAGGTGCTCTTGGAAATAGTTGTACTCAACCACTCCAGAACTGCCCGTTCAACTGAACAGGCACTGTCCCGTCAGCCCCTAGAACCTTCTAGGGGTTGCACCTGTTCTACGGTCGCGGCCACATTCATGGCCGTTACATTTCTCTCTTCTTCTTACTTTATTTTCCTCCTCCTCCCCCCTGCCTTTTTTATTTTTTCTTTTTACTCCCCCTCGTTTTCTCTGTGAGGGGGCAACTCGCCGTTCGAAACGAACGGCCGCCCCCCTTAGTCTTGTCGCAGTGTCGAATTAGAGTCAAGCTCAACAAAGGGTCTTCTTTTCCCCCTGCGCCCGTACCTGGCCGCGAACAGTGCCAGGTCCAGGCGCTGTCTGCTGACTGCAGCCCGTTCTTGAAATCGGACGGACGCAGCCACGACAACAGCGGGGTAATTAAAAAAAAAAACAAATACAAAACAAAAAAAGGAAGGAACAAAAAAAAGGAAGGAACAAAAAAAAGGAAGAAGAAAACCTTACCTGGACGAACGGTGGCCCGTTCCGCACAGACACCCACTCCTGCTGCCGCCCACTCGCCGCAGGGGTCATCTCCAGGTAGGATCCCCCCCCCTTTCTCTCTCCCTCTCTAAAGCGTGTGCATAGAGTCCCCCGTAACTCGAGTTCAAGATCCCAAACCCGATGCCCGGATCCGTTCGATTTTGCTCCTCCTTATCAGAAGGAGAAGCAGCCCGTTCGTTGAAAACGAACGGGCACTTACTAATTCTTACTGATAGAAAAAAAAGGAAACATTTAAATCTAACAAAAATCTAAAGCAAATCTAACAAAAGATAAAAAAAAAAAAAAAAAGAACAAAACGAAAAAAAAGAAAAACGGCAGTCCGTAAAAGCGGGCGCCTGTCACGACCACTGGGGCCTGAAGTGCCCCAGACACTTCACCCTGCGCCACATGGCGCTTCACTTTAGTTTTAGTTGTAGTCTTTTTTTTTTTTTTTTTTTTTTTTTTTTTTTTTTTTTTTTTTTTTTTTTAATCAGTTGGCTTATGCCAACGTTCGGTTTCACGTGGCTTTTCAGCCACGTCCCCCAAAACACTAGCCCGAGTTCGAGTCCTGCCTAGTGCGAAAAATAAATAAATAAATTGGACTATCTCTCGAGTTATGCGTGTCATCCTTGCGCAGGGGTCGTGCTGACTCACGCGAGGTCGATCTCGGCCGTGCGATCTTCACGATCGACGGTCGACATCAACCGCGCCGACAGCAAAGTGGCCATCTCCAAAAGGAGCTAAGGGGCAAAGTATATTGGCTTCGATCCCAGTACCTGCTGGGTATATATCACCTGCTATAACCTACTAGGCTAGCTCCTATCACAACTGTGATAATAGCTGCTCTTCTATAAGAAGAGCTGGCCCAGTCACTATCTCCCCCCATATCGTGGCCTTGCAGGCCGTGCCTGCCTGTGGCGCGGTAGGCCCTGCCTGCCTGCCTGTGGCCTTACAGGCCTTGCCGGCAGGCCTTACCCCGTTGGCAGGTCGCGTGGCATCGGCCTATCAGCCCCGTGGCTCGATGTCAAGCTCCGCGGCCAAACAAAAAAACTCCCCATTCCTTCTGCGTCGCGGCCCTATACCCGGCGCATCCCCTTTTTAGCCCATTCAGGCCCTGAATCGCGCGGCTTAACAGCCGCGCGACACTATTTTAGGTAGAATAGTTCTAGTTCTACCGTTCCCATGCCCGCACATACCTGTGGCTTCGACAAAACGAAGCATTACCATTCACATCTGTTACTCCTGGACGCCACACGCGTTCGGACTGACGTCTAAAAACTTTTAGTCTGTCAGTCATAGGTCAGGTCTGAATAAGCGTTTTGGCAAACGTCGTCTCATCAAGTCCTTCAATTCAATGAAACAGTCATACAACGTGCAACGTTGAAAACCCCCTGCAAATACCCTTGTCAGGGTATTTTTCCCGACAGCGTTGTCGCGTTGTTTGTGTTGTGTTGTTTCGTGTGTGTGTGTGTGTTTTATTTTTGTGTTTGTAAAGTGGTGTGCGTGTGGTGTGTGGGATCGTCCTAGTCGATCGACGACATGCCGCGCTTGGGACTTCAGCCCCCCAAGATGGCAGTTCGTGTGCGGGTCCGATAGAGGCGTATTACCGCGCGTACCCTCTATGCTATAGCGAACGAGAAACGCCCTCGGCTGGTCCACCTCTGCGATTGCAACTGATTAGCTTTCGTACTGTGGACTGGTATCTCGGCGGGGATACGCCCACGAAAGGGAGGTGACAGCTCCCGTAACGTGGAGATAAGTTGTGCCTCGCGTAGGCCCTATCCTGTCGTAGGGGCTCGCGAGAGGTATGGCTGGCGCACTCGGCCGGGGCGACTTGCGGAAACTCCATGTATATTCGCGACGAAGGATATAAACCAACTCCTGCGTGATACGGCCGGGAGGGTCCCGCGCTGCCCTGATGCGGTGCCGGACCGATGCGCTCGACAGGTGGCGCCGTTGCCAGGGATAACGGAAAGCCTACCGTTGTCCCTGGTGGAACGACATCCGGGTATGAGAAGGGAAGGGAAAAAAGGCATAAAGGAATGACGAGAAGGTAAGAAAAAAAAATGAGTGACTAAGTATAGGTGAGGAAGTTTACCTTCTTGAGTTAGGGGAAGTATAAAGGACGATCGTGCTAGCATTGGGTAAAGTATGTACTAAGGGTTAGGTAGGACGGATGGAATAGACCGGTCTAGGTGCAATGCTGAATAAAAGGGGTGTGCTTGTTTTCTCTTATCAGGGAGCTTGAAGAGAAGAGTCTATCAAGATGTTGCAGGGCGGCGGCACATCAGGTGCTCCCAAGAAAGGCCTGACGCTCGATGACCTCATCGCGGCTATTGACAGGCATGAAAGAAATCCGAGCAATATCCCCAAGGTCGATAGCTTCCATTTTTGTGGGGAGAGAGTCTCAGAATGGCTGGAGCGGGTGGAACAAGCTCTCGTCGGGCGGTCGGATGTTGTAAAATTTCAGCGCATTCTCCAGTACGTTCTCCATAGCTACCACCAGGAAGTGAAGAAAGTTATAGATGCGGCTCAAGGTAGCTTGGAAAGATTCAAGGAAGGAATGCAGAGGAAGTACCGTCTGGGAGACGGATTGTTGACCACTACGGACCTTGAGGCGATGAACAAAGAGGACTTCACGATGATAGGGGCCTTTGTCCAAGAATTCAAGAAAAGGGCACGGAAGGTCCATGGGATTTCGGAAGAGGCGCAATGCGCAATCTTCCTAGGGCTACTCACGGCATCGGAGGCCGTTGAGCTGACAAGACATGGAGGGGGTAGCACTAAGCTCACCTGGGCCACCATTGACAGAGGGGTGGAAGTTGGATGCTTGGACCAGGTGGAGCAACGTCAGGTACGCCTGCAAAGACAGAAGAGAAAGGAAAGAGACGCGACCGCTTCTGGGACCCCGGGGGTAACAAGGATTGTTACAGACGTATTGGCACAGCTGGGGTATGCGACAGAGCCGGTGGTGCAAAGGAAGGTAGTAACGGCTATCCAAGTGAAAGAAACAGAGCCGGTGATAGAGGAGGCTGTTCAGGAGGAACTCTAGGAAGAGGAAGAGCCGGTGCCGCAACGCCTGACGAAGGTCCAGCGCAAAGTGCGTAACTTGGCGCAGGGCGGACACAGATCAGGAAAAGCGCTGGCGCCTCAGGCGGTGGTGACGGCTCCTCCAAGTGTGGCGGCGCCCTCGTCTAGTGCGGGCCCCTCGCAAGGAGGGGCACCCTCCTACGGACAATGGCCCTGGTCGGTGATCAATGCAATTGTGCCATGGGGTAGCCCGCCGCCAGTAGTCGGACCACAAATGAGTATGCCGCCACCCATCTACCCCGCAGCCCAGGTCCAGCCTGTGGCCCCGCCGCCGTCACCTGCTCCCAGTTCACAGGGAAGCGTGGCTGGAGGTGGGAACCAGGGGCTGGGCAATCAAGGCAACGGAGGGATGGGTGGAGGAAGGGGGCGAGGCAGGAATGGCGGCGGAAGAGGAGGGCCATGGAATAGTCAAGGCCGAGAAAACCAAGGCTCGGGGTACCAAGGCCAGGGGAATCAAGGCCAAGGGTACCCAGGCCAGGGGTATCAAGGCCAGGGGGATCAGGGAAGTCAGGGGTATGGGAGACCCCGTTTTGACTGGAGGACGGCCATCTGCCAGCATTGTGACCAGCAAGGCCACACCATAAGGTTCTGTAACATAAGACGGGAAGACGAGAGGAGCGGGCTGATCTCCTCCACCATGGATGGGAACATTTACGATCAGTTTGGGGAGGCCATTGACAGAAGGCTTGGAGGAGTGAGAGCGGAAGCCCAACGAACGGCGGCAGCCGGGCCGCCACCCCCTGCCACATTCAGGCTATGGCAGGAAAAGGAGGAATCACTGATTGGGGTAGAGGAAGTGGGGAGCGACGAGGAAGTGGCTCAAGGACCACGTGGAGGAAGTAGGAGGGGAGAGCCCATAATCATCGAATCGGATGATGAAGACGAGGAAAGAAGGATGGAATCGCCATCCGTTTTATTGGGCAAGATGGAGGACCTACTGAACAAGGTGGGAAGGTACCAGCAGAAGTTGGTAAACCTCTGCGACGAAATAAAGAGATGGAGGTCTAGCATCCCCAAGGTGTTCCTTTATGACTCCGGCCCGGACTCAGCACCTGGGCGTCCCGGAGTAAATATGGTGGGGTCAAGCCCACAGTCAGGAATGATGGGGAGACCCCTCACTCCGCAGGCCCGGCTGGCACAGGCAGCACAAACGAGAAGTCAAGCCAAGGCCAGTGCCAAACAAGAACCTCTGAGAAGGGAGCCAGAGCCAGGGAAAAGAAAGGAGGCTGTGGAAGTGGAGGATGACGACAATGAGGAGGAAGAGAACGAGAGGTTGCGCAGAGAAGAGGATCAGAGAGCGGAGCAGCGGGCCAGGAAAAAGGGAGCCAGGGGAGAGGTCGAGCCGGTCGTGCGCGACGGACAGCCCAAAAGGAAGAAGTACGCGGTTCGGTTGGAAGAGGGATTTGACGTAGAGAAAGTGATCGACCGGCTGCTGGAAGGGCATAATGACCTCATGACCCCGAAGGAAATCCTAGCGTCGGCCCCGCGGCTCCGCGATGAACTGAAGGGGAGATTGTCGTGGCGCCTGGTGCCTAATGTCCATCTAGGTACGATCCTGCCCAAGGAGGCTGAGTGGGCGGAGTCGGGTACGAAAATGGACTGGAAGTGTGTAGCCTGCGGCATGGTGGATTTGGTGGTGAAGGGTTCTACGTGCGCAGCAATGGTGGACACTGGGGCGGAGATGAACATTATCCGGGAGGTGGACGCGATCAGATTCGGGCTGGATACAGATCGTTTTGACTGCGGTATTCTGCACGGAGCTTGCTGCAAGGTCGTGTTTTGTGGGACAGCCTCGAATGTACTCATCGAGGTTGGAAAGGTGAAGGCCCGAGCTTGCTTCTTCATCATGCCGGACGTGGACTACGGGATCCTCCTAGGAAGATCATTTTTTAGTAGGACAGAAACTGTGATGTTCAACAAGCATGACGGTACTTTGATCCTCCTCCTATGTGACCCTGCGTGCGGGAATTACGAAATAATTACCTGCAGAAATACAGGACCGAGGAGTATAAGGAACCGGCCCAACCCAGGATCCTTCATGATTGAAGAATCGGAGGGCGAGCGCCGAAGGCTTCAAGCGGAGCCGAAAGGAAAAGAAGAGGTGAAAGCGTTTTCCCTTAGCCTATCGGACATCGGGAAGGCCATGGATTTGGTGGCCGCGCATGAGATGGCGGATCCGGATGCCATCCAGGCCTTGATGGAGCAAGTTCTGGAATGTCCTGAGGCAGGGAGATTGTAGCTGGTATATCGTCTTCCAGACGGAAGGAGGAATCTCGCGTCCTCGCAAGCGCAATCTGTGAGTCGGCCTTTTTTAGGGGACGGCTCAAGCAGGGTTCCCAAAGGCGGTACAAGACGGTAGACAAGAAGTGTCGCCCGGTTCCCATCCTCGTTACAGAAGACGAGGAAGCGTACCACGAAAGGAAACGAGGGTTGATACGACGAATGAGGGAGAGTGCGTTAGCAGGACCATGTCGTATCAACGAAGGGAATGAAGAGAAGTTGATTATAGGGGAACCCGACTCCCTACTGACTCAGGAACGAGCGTTGATAGATAAATTGATGAGGAGGAGGCACCTCGTCTATAACTGACATTTCGTTAAAACTGACATTTTTTTCTAAATTCACGAAAGTGGACTTAGTCAAAATTTCATTGCTTATCGAGTGAGAAAGTGGTTATCTCACTTTGTCCATCTGATGTACCTCAACGTAAAGTACCGTTAACATACATCCGATGGTCAGATCATCAGGAGTCGCCACGACACCCGATGATCTGATCATCTGAAGTCATGGGGACAAAAAAAACACTAAAAACTGTTGTTTTTTTGTACGCTCAATTTCGTGAATTAAGAAAAAAATGTCAGTTTTAACGAAATGTTCATTCTATGCGTTTAGTGACGAAGAGCGTGGCAGGCCGGATGTAGACAAAATACCTATGATCCGCATCCACATCGTGACACACGAACCTTGGAACATGAGAGGGGTGCGATATCCTAATCCTGACGAGGAAAAGAAGGTGGTGGATTACCTCGACGACAAGATACATACACACATCGCCAACTACTCGAGTGGACCATATGCATCCCCGTGGTTCTGTTTCATCAAGCCTAACAGGACGCTGCGCTGGGTGCAAGATCTGCAGAGGCTGAATGCAGTGACTGTGCGGGATGCTGGAGGACTGCCCAATGCGGACGCGCTGTCGGAATCCTGTGCTGGAAGGCCTATAATCTCACTTATAGACCTTTACTTAGGATATGATCAGTTCCCGGTCTACCCGCCAGACAGGCCGGTGACGGCTATGCACACGCCGCGAGGACTAATCCATATGAACGTGGCCCCACAAGGGTGGACCAACGCGGTAGCAATGGTCCAACGGGCCATGATTCGGGTTATGCAGTCAGTCAACCCCCATATCACACAGCCATACATCGACGATTTGGCAGTGAAGGGGTCGGCAGTGAAGGAGAGCGACGACGTCTCACCAGGGGTAAGGCGCTTTGTTTGGAAGCACATCCAGGACCTCGAAAAGGTCCTGAGCCTGCTCGAGGAGCATAACCTCACGGCGAGCGGGGCCAAATCCAGACAATGCATGAGGGAAGCTACTATCTTGGGGTTCGTCTGCAGTGAGAAGGGCCGAGGGCTGGATGTGAAGAAGACGGACAAGATAACTGAGTGGCCGGTTCCGTTCCACTCAATAACTGATGTCAGGAGCTTCCTTGGTACGTGTGGATTTTGGAGGGCCTTCGTGAAGAACTTTGCCGCGGAGGAAGTTAGTCCGTCAGGATCAGGAATGGGTTTGGGGTGAAGAGCAAGAAGAGGTGGTGGTTAGAATGAAGGACGAATTTCGAGAAGGAGGGTTGGTGTTAGGAGCATCAGATTATGGTGCCACGGAGATGCGACCCTTCATTGTCGAAACGGATGCGGGGCCGACTGCCTTAGGGGGAGTTTTAATTCAGGCAGTTGTGGAAGGAAAGGAAAGGCCCTTGCGATTTGAGAATCGGACTCTGTGTACGACAAAGAGAAACTACTCTCAGTTCAAAAGGGAGACCCTTGCTGTCCTCCACTGTCTGCGGATCTTCCGGAATTACATCTTCGGCAGGAGGTTTATTCTGAGGGTGGGACCGACCACCCTGGCTTATTCTCTAAGGAATTACGTTCCATCGGATCCAACGGTTGCCAGGTGGCTGACATATATCTGGATGTTTAATTTCGAGTTGAAACGGATTTCTGACAGTAAGAACCGGGCAGATGAACTAAGTCGGATCAACTGGGATAAACAGGAAGGGGAGGTGGTAGAGAATACACCCCCAGTTGATGGATTTCTGGACCAGGAAGAAGATGTCCGTCTTCATATTAACAAATGGTCGCCGCAAGTACCCAGCTGTGTAGGCTATCCTATCTGGCAAGCGCCAAGTGGGTACGAACGGAGGGCTGAGCTAGTCCTCAAACCCTTTGAAGAAGAGGATCCCTGGGGTAGTAAGGATGTTCCGTGGATGATGGAGTTAGCGTTGGCCAGCTCGCATAGCCTGGTGGAGGACATGAGGACGATGGAGGAAGGGTCAGGCCAGGTAGAACGGCATGAGGACCTGATGGGAGGAATGTATTTCCTCGTCAACACGTTATTGCAGGAAAGCCTCGACCAATCAGGCTCGTTGAACTCGGCAGGGAATGTGGACGAAGTGCCAGAGAGCCAGGACGACGAGTTCGAGGAGGGGGAAATTAAGGAAGCCTTTCGTGTAGAAGAGTATGATGGGATCTACCTAGAGCGGGGACTCCTTCTGTCGTGCGAAATGCGATTAAGGATGCGAGTGATAGGGCTCAGAGGATGTTGCAACGCTACTTAGTGCGGGACGACCACCTTTTTGCAAGGAGAGAAGTAGGGAATCCCAGGAGAGTCGTCTGTGGCAGGAATCGTCAAATTGACGTCGTAGCAGCGCTTCATGATGGCATTGCAGGAGGGCATCGAGGGATCCAAGCCACTTATGCCAAAATAAACGAGCTGTACTACTGGGATGGAATGATGGATATGGTTGGGAGGTTCTGCCCGTCATGCGTGCCCTGCCAGGAGAGATCTCGTTTAAGGCAAGGAGAGTCGCTGCATCCAAGGCTAGAGCGAGAAGTGGGGGTTGTAGTGCATCTCGATCTACTTTTCATGCCGCTTGGGGATCACAGCTATAACTACATCTTCGATGCGTGCGATAACCTATCTAGCTTCGTAGATGGGCGTGTCATACGTACCAAGACTGATTCGGTCTTGGTTAGTTGCATCGAGGAGTACTACTTGCGTTATCCTTTCGTCTGGGAATTCGTAATGGACAGGGGATCGGAGTTTACCTGCCAGGAGGTGCAGGAGTTGCTATCAAGGTATGGTGTAGTAGCTAACTACACCACGGCTGCGCACCCCAGGCAAATGCTCTCGTGGAGAGAGGGCATAGCACCATTACGAGCCTCCTGGCTAAGTGGACTGAAGGTAGGCCGAATCAGTGACCAAGGTACCTGAGGGCGGCTTTCTTCGTCGAGAACATTACAGTGAAAAGATCCACCAAGTTCGCACCTGCGACGATGTGGTATGGAAGGCACGCCACCTTCCCAATCGAGAGCTTTCTTAAGACCTGGAGACGCCAAGATCTGGAAGTCAACTTGTCTTTTGAAGAGTTGCTCGATATTCGGGCTCGGCAGGTAGGGGCAATAGAGGAAAGGATCCAATAGGCGTCCGATCAGGTAGCGAGAAGTCGTATGGATGATAAGGCGCGATGGGATCAGTCTGCGCGGGTGAGGAAAGTGCCCTTGGCAGGACGTCGTGTTTTTCTATGATTCATCACTGGAGAAGCAGTGGTCCCGGAAACTCGATAAGAGGTGGTTAGGTCCCTACCGGATCGTACGGGTCAGAGACTTCGGAGCGTACCAGATTGAGGAGCTAAATGAGACCGAGTGGAAGGATTGGGTATCTGGAACGCGACTGAAGAAATTTGTGGCAAGAGAAGAGGTAAGAAAGATGATCTGACTACCTTTATAATAGAAATGATAGGTTGTGTAGGTCAGATAGGTTGCATGATGCATGAGTGTGGACTGGTTTGAGCTTGCTTTAAATATCGCCTATTTTGTTTACCCCAATGTGTGCATGTTGTCTCCTTCGCCATTTGTGCAGGTCTGACTTTACGAAGACAGTCATGCCAAGAGGAGGGAAGGGGACACGGCCGCCTCGGAGGCCGTTGGGAGCATCAGGAGGATATGAGCGGCATGGGCCTCGCCATCGAGAGAGTACTCCGGTGTACGATGATGGGGACATCGAGCTATTCCTGGACAGCTTTTGGGATCATGCGAGGCGTATGGGCTGGACCGTGGCCCAGGCGATTGAGAGACTGAGGGGAGCAGGAAGGTTTGAGGAGCCCATTACCAGGATTCGTAGGGAGGCGACGACGAGACAAGAGGTGGAGACGAGGATGCAGGAGCTGCGACCCTCGCCTGTGGGACCAGATGGCAGGCCGATCCGCCAAGAGATCGGAAATTCAGCAGATTTTATTCCTGCCTTCGAGTGGTTCATGCAGGGGCAGGGTATACCGAGAGATGAGTGGGCGAGGACGTTACCCCTCTGGACCAGAAAGGCGGAGAGGGGACTGGCTAAGCAGGTCAGAGACATGGCTCGGGACTGGGAGAGCTGCAGGGCACATCTGAGAGAGACCTTTCGACGGCCAGAGCCCCCTCAGCCCAGAGTTGAGAGGCGTCAGAGGCGTCAGAGGAGTCAGAGGCAGAGGGACCCTGAGCCCAGGGAGGCGAGGCCATCTCGAGGAGGACGGAAGGCCCTAGCTAGGAGAGAGGAGGAACCAGAGCCGAAGCCAGAGGCTGAGGAGCGAGGGGCATACCCTGAGTGTGGGTTGGGACCAGTGGAGTTCCATCGGTTTGCCGAGGGTGGATTGAGGAGGTCGCCAGCACGCACACGGGAGGAGCCGCCAGCATTTGAGGAGCCCTTGAGGGAGTTGGAGACGCATTTGGATATCACTCGGTGGAGAGCGTCGCCTCGGGGTGAGGAGCATGGAGCGCAGGCAAAGGCGGTGCCACGAGAGGAGGTGCCACGAGAGGTACCACAGGAGGGGGTCCGGGGTACTCAGCGAGAGAGAGGGATGGGCGATGAGGGGAGACGTGCAAGGAAGTAAATAGAGGTTGGAGAGGACACACCCCCACAGACGCCAGTGGTGGGTTTGAGGCTCGGGGATGCACCAAGGGGCACTCGCCAGGCGGGGGAGAGGTTGCAGAGAGAGGAGCCCCCATTGCCCTCATCAGAAAAGGCTCCTTCGCCAGAGAGAAGGGCAGAAAGCAGGAGAGAGAGGGCAGTTGTGAGGAGAGAATCCTTGACCCTGATAGACAGGCACCTAGCAACTCATGCCCTGGAGCACCCAGACCTGGAGGAGTCAGCACCTGCAGAGGCGCGCCAGGAGCCGTGCCAACCGGACCAGAAGGTAGAGGCAGAGATTCCAAAGAGGGTCGACCTCCGCACAAGGGAAAGAGCGTTAGCTGAGAGACAGGCGAAGAAAAGAGGGCACGAAGAACCAGGAGGATATAAGAGATATGGCAGGAGAGGCATAGATTGGAGGCAGCGGGGAAACTTCCAGAGCAGCAGCTGGAGAGGCAGAGATTGGATGCAGCAGGGGCTCTCCCGGGTCAGCCACCCAGCGAGCCAGCAAAGGCCCCAGACATCCCACAGATGTGGAGGGACTTCTGGGAGCGGAGAGGAGAGGAGCTTCCTTCGCCAACCAGAGCGGGGTTTGGGGTGGCAAGGAAGGCAGAAGAAAGGTTGGATCGCAAGATCAAGTTCCTGGCCAAGACAACTTTTGACCGACACTTGTTGTTGGAGAGCGATCTGGCAGGGAAGAAGATAAAGGAAGCCGGCTATGGAGTACGCCTGGAGGCTATGGAGGTGGAAATCCAGGAACTCGGGGCATTGGTGGCCAGCCAGGCAGCTATCATCGAGAGCCTGAGGCAGCGATCTCAGGGAGGGGCGGACAAGCCAGAGAGCAGCCGGCAGGGGGAGAAGAGGCAGCCAGGGCATGGGTTGTCAGGACAACCATCTGCAGCAGAGCCTCGCCAGGAGCCACCTTTGGGGAGAGTTATCCTGGAGCCAAAGGAGGCGAGAGCCCAGATGGGGGCAGAGAGAGAGGCCTTCGAGTTCAGAGCCCCTACTGAGCTCGCGACGCTATATATAGCAGCGGCGGGCTCAGTCATACCTTTGGCAGTTGAGGAGGGGCTACCACAATCTAGCAGTGAGTCAGCTCTGGGCTCAGCGGAGGGATCTATGGACGTGCTCATTGAGGCAGTGCACTCGATGCAGGAGGATGTGAGTTTGTTTTCGCCTGAGCAGAGGATAAAGGAGCCTCTCGAGAGAGAGATGGGGATTGAGGCGGAGGGTGTCATTGAGGGCGGGCTCCGGAGGTTGGGCACACCTGAGTACAGGCCAGGGGGGATTGAGGATCGACCAGGGCCGAGTACCCAGGAGATGGAGACAGGAGAGGAGCCTTTGAATATGCCTCAGAGCCATGAGCTGAGCAGGGAGGTCAGCGAAGCACCATCATTGCCAAGGTCTCAGAGGGGAAAGTAGAGGTCCAGAAAGTGGTTCGATACGTCCTGCTTCTTCTGCACAAAGGAGGGGCATCGAGCCTTGCAATGTCCTAAGTTCTTAAAGGACAAGGCAGAAGGGAAGGTCACAGAGGAAGGAGGCAGGATGTATAATAGACAGGGCAGGAGAGTAGAGAGATCTGTAGATGGGGGTAGGGCTCAACTATATAGGCAAAACCAGGAGGGGATGAGCGACCAGGACTGAGTTTTCTTATATGATTGACATGTTGTGTAGAGGACTAGAGTTAGGATTGGATGACATTTTGTAGACCTAGGTGTTGTTTGTTTTTGTCAGGCAGTTTGGGTTGGGTTTTTGTTGAGTCTGCCATCTTGAGGACCAGTATATGGTAGATGAGGCGTGTACATACTTAGTTGGCTTACACCCTGATCTTCGAGAGATAGACCCAACATGTACTTTGAGGAGGATACCCGTGTGAGTGTGGATTTGAGTGAGTTGAGTGAGTCACAGTATGGAGACATTTTTTGTACGGGGTATTTTATCCCTGAGTGTACATTATATCGAGACTTTTTTTGGGGGGACTACTTGTTGTACATGACGATCACTCTCACACTCACTTGTGTGGTCCTGGCTTGATGAATGATGGTTTGGTGTGAAATATGCGCGAGAAAATGCTTGATGTATCTTGTACTTTGTGAATTTAGATGAATATGAACCGTCTACTCGTTGGTATACTCGTGCGACCTGCCCTTGGGCAGATGAGAGGGTCGAGTATAAGGCAAGGAAGCGCAGTCTGTTTTGTGAGAAAATGTGAGGATCCTGAATATTCGTATGGTGAGTGTTTTATTGCTTGAGTTGTGCGAAAGACCCACAAGTTGATCTTTTTATATGGATTATGTGATGAATGGGACACCTGCGAATGGAAAGGTTGTCCATTATCTGTTTGGAAGATACACCTTCAGAGAGGGAAGGTGTGTTAAAGAAAAGGTCGCGGGAAAGTTCATCCTAGAGAGAGAGGGATGATTGAGAGACCTATTAAAATAAGACCTCCTCTATAAGTAAGGTGGTCAATAAGATTGATAAATGGAAGTCTAACTTTGTGTAATAAAAGACTGACGAGAGGGGCCAAAATGTTGTGTGACTATTGATGGAATTTTTGGATGTCGCAAATGGTGCATTTTTAGAGATGTCATGAAGATGTGTCACTTTCTGGCTCCGATCAAGCTGGGAGGCCACGACCCTGTGAATCAGGCGGTGATTTTGTTTGTGATTTTGAAGAGGTTGTCGTGCTTCCTCTGTGTTGTCTCAGAGAGGGACTGGTAAATACCTTGATGTGCGACAGGTCTATGCGTAGTCCCGCAGTAGGTCTGTATTGTTGCGACACACCGTCTGGTCGCTTGTGCTAATCTTGGACATTTATAAGAGACCCAGATAGGGGTATAACTAGCATCACTAAGGCGCAACCCTTAATGTTGGCCGCTGTTTGACACAACCTGAGCAGAGGGTCTCCGTCTGGCCAAAGGAGTAAAGACTTAAAGGGGCGTGAACGCCTAGGAGGGTTTTACTCCGGCGGAGAGGCGTGGGATAAGAATCGAGTCATACGAGTCTTTTGAGGAAGTCCTGATTGAATGCTTATCAGGAACAGCCTATCGTGGCGCAACCCGCGAAGGCACTACTGCTGAAATAACAATGCAGTGGGTCGTAGATCTGGAGTGATCACCTAGACTATGGTGGGCCAAGATAGACACCTGGTCTTCCTGTACCAGACTGCAGGAGAGCCTGTGTGAAAGTCTATATGGTACGGCTACGTGTGTTAATGTGAAGATTTTTTAGAGGAAGGCGAGAGAATGCCTTCAAAGGTCTCGGTTAGGGTCCGCGCCCCTAGTCACGACTTGGTTTCAAGGGAAAGGGCTAGGGGCACACAATGAGAAGCCGGCGGTTGTCTAGGGCACAGGGAAGAGGATGGTGAAAGATTCAATGAAGCTTATGCTGTAGTACAGTGAGGAGTATCCCGACGTCCGAGCATCAAGATGACGGAGACCCAGGTTGGAATCCTGGCACCATAAAGTTGTGTTTGGCATGGATTATTGGAGGCCTCAACCCTGGGTCTGTCGGCTAGGTCCTAATGGATTTGGCTAAGGACGGGTAGCCACGGCACTACAGGGTAGGACGACGTGAGTTTGGGTGGTCCCTTGTGCAAGTGTGGGTCGGGAAGTGGCATGGGGCGTTTTCTTGGACCCGAAAGTCGTGCGCTATCTCCTTATTAAGAGATTTGAGCCCACTGGTACCAGGCTTGGGCTTAGCCCTATTGGTTACGGCATCAGACTTATGAGGTAAAAGTACGGGGATCGAGGCCAGCAAGCGGCGGTATGGGAGCAGCGGAGCACCGGAAGAGTTGAGGGGTTGAGGGTCCCGCGGGACTATCCCCACTGTGTTTTGCTGGGGGAGTCCGATCGCGGACCCACTTTACAGGGCCAAAGGAAAGGAGAAGTGAGTCCCGCGCCCCGGCCCCCTTAGCTTTCTCATTTTTTCCTTTTTGGGGTAGGTCTTATAATTTTTAATATTTGTCTTTTTTCGTTCTCACGCTTTCCGACCAGGCCGAGTGCAGGATTAAGGATCGGTCGCGAACCCAAGAGAGCAGTGGACTCAATAGTCGGGTTCCCGCATGAGCGGGACGCAGGCAGAATTGCCTTACCCGGCTTGTCTTGGGATAGATATAGGCCAAGGAGGTAAGTCCGTTTGCATATAGGGGAGAGGCGTCGGCCGGAGAACAGCGGCGATACAGGCTACACACCATCTCTTCCACAGGACCGCCCCCGTCTCAGCCCCAAAAGTTCGCAGTCGGACGCTTGCAAATTGTCATCAGGATAGCATCAGGGCCGCATCACCTAGGCCCACGTTACGGCTTGAGCAGGCTAGGCACGTCCCCCTACTAGTCGCCGGAGGAAGGGGCGCCCAGCGATACTAATGTGCAGGTCGCACGATGGACTTGGGCATAAGGGCGAAGGACCAATCGAACCACCGGATAACTGGTTCCTCATAACCTCTCCCTCGGGATAGCAGAGGGTGCAGACCGACTAGTTTGCACTACGACAGTTGGGTCGTCGGGGACCAAATCTCGGCGTGAATCAGTGCCAGGTGCGTTCGGAAACAAGGGTTGTGTGACCTCTCGGTAGCTCCGGGCGGCACTACCGTGGGTAAGTCCTTCGGGGCATCTGTTTAATTTTGAAGGATACAAGGAAGGTTAATGTGGCCCGCGCGAGCAGGCGGTATCTACGAACGGGAGGCACGTAGCGGAGCGGAGCTGGGCGACAGTATGAGGTGCAAGGGAGTAAGTGAACCCGACCCGTTGTCAGAGTCGGGTACATTCAATAAAGGACAAGGCTGGAGATGACGGGGGGGTTTGCACAGTCTAAGGCGCAAGGACAGAAAGTACAGAATTGGGGGGGGGGGGGTAACTGAATCCGGGCGGAATGTAGGGCCCGGTGCCTTTTGAAAGACAAGTTGCGCACCCCCTTGGCTCCGCGGGGCACTACCTGAGGTAAGTCCTTCGGGACATCCGTTAAAAATTGGAACGATACAGAGAAGATTAGCATGGCCCCTACGCAAGGACGACGCGCATAAAATACGAGGAAAGCCCGACGGTCGAGCGTTTTCCTTCTGTTCGATAGTCAAATGCCGTCGGACCGTGAGGTGTCGGACGACCAGAGTGACGCCAGCGGAAAGAGTGATGGTGAGGGAACGACGGGTGGTAGTGAAGGAAGAAAGAAGGGGGCGGACTGAACCCGAACGGGACCCCCGCCAAGATTCGTGCGAGGCAGAGTGAGCCGTGGCAGAACCGAACTATGGCAGGAGCGGAGGGCGCTTAGACAGACTGTGTTACCAGGAAGTAAGAGAACCCGGTCGGTTTTCTGCGCTGAGTGCGTGCAGACGGTTGGAGAAGGGAAATAACGGGTATTGCCGACAACGAATGGAGCGCAATCAGTGACGGGGGTGGGGCAGCAAGGAAGTAAGAGGAGGAATGAATCTGGGCGCGCTTCTGCGCCACATTCATTCAGAGAAAGGAGGAGGGAAAGCAGACGTGAGTTGATCATCTCTGGGTGGAATCAGACGAGAAGAGATGCGTGTTAGGGGTTTTTGAGGTAGGCGAGTTGAATGGCCACGTTAGTTCTAGCTCTAGATTAGCGAGCTAAGTGTTAGTAAGGAAAGGCGGTCCGCGGAGTCGTCCGGCGGTGGGTATAGCCGGAAGCAGGAATTGAATACCTCGGTCGGCTCCTAGTGAAATCGAGCGAGCAGGAGGATTGAAATAGGGGCTTTGAGCGATTGCGAGCACGATGGCAAAGAGAGAATTTATGTTTGGGGTGTCATTCTAGCAGTAAGGAAGTCTAAAGCTGCGTGGATAAGCAAATGGAGTGCACCTTTTCGTATACTTGAGGAAGGTTCATCCGCATTTTGGCATGCGTAGGAGGGAATGAAATTTGAAGCAGTGAAAGTCGGGGAAAGTGCGATTCGAAGGTTTTGGGGCAGGGTGAGTGTGAAAGTGGAGTTAGTTCTGATTTTAGATTGTTAGGATAAGAGTTAGTACGAAATAGTACGGCGCGGAGCATTGAAGAGAAGATCGGGAACAGCTATGAAGAAGGCAATGTATCTTCCCTAGGAGTAGTGAAATATTCACTCTGTTTGCACATCTTCCTGATGGATCAGCGTGGGGCCGTCCGAGAGGTTAGGCACTTACCTTTTTAAACAGAGTGATGAGCGGGCGGTGCATTCATTCTTGTTCGTTCGAAGGATGGGAGCGACGCGGCGCAGGCAGCAGGCAGAGTAGGATACGTACCTAACCTTGATTAAGGGGAAGATTTGTGCGCCCTTGTGTATCAGAAAAAAGAGGGTGGATCAGGCCAACTGTCTGCAGTAGATCATTCGACTTGCTCATCCTCTCGGTGAGGTGGCAACGTACATTCCTATAATCTAACAGAAGGTTCACTCTCTCCTTGCTTCACTAATGACCGTGTGAGGCTCGTGATCGTCGTTTTCATTTTTCGAATT